TGACCAGCAGAGTGCTCCAGAGCTGGGTCTTTGGAGCCAAACTGTCAAGATTTGATTCCTAGTGCTCCTACTTCCTAACTGTATAAGCTTAACCTCTTAACCTCTCTCTGCCTTGGCGTTAGCATGTATACGTAAGGATCAGGAATAGTAACTAGTAGCTTTAAGATTTACATAAGATGTTCCGTAGGCGTTATGCTGAGGCTTTCCTAGGCAGTGGAAAAGCTTTTTTCAGCTCGCAGAGGGCAGGTCATGGGTCTTCTGAGCCTCCATAATTTCATGTGCCTATGTCTTGTCATAAGAAATCTGTCTGTCTGTCTAGCCATCCATACTATTGCTTCTGTTTCTCTGGAGAATCCTGACTAATACACTATAACATATAGATAATATATAGTATTGTTTTGTGTATTTAAGCAACATAAATCGTATATATAAGCAGCATTTGGGAATTGACTGTTTTTACTCAATAATATGTTTCTGAGATCTTGCATGTTTATATACGTAGGTTTAGTTCTGATTTATTCTTTTAAAATGCTGGATAATAGTAATTCACTATATGATTATACCACATTTTATCAATTCATTTTCATATTGCTATTCCATAAGATTGAATTTGGAATCTTTTTCCAATTTTTTGATATTTCAGGTAAAATTGCAATGAATATATATATATATATAAACATATATATATACCCAATGTATGCTGCAGTAATAAACAAAAATGTTTTTCTAGATTAAATATCTAGAATTATAATTGCTAGATCATAGATTATGTGTATTTTCACTTTAAATGGTTCCCCACCAGGAATATTTAAAAGCACTTCAGTTTCTATCTGAACATCATGATGACATTCTTGGACACTTTCTTCTAAACATTTGTGGTTGTTCTCTTTTTAATTTTAAACTTGGATTTATTTTTGTGTATGGTGTGAAGTAGGGATTAGTTTTTTTCCATAAGTTAAGTTTCCCAACACCTCTCATGAAGAATTCATCCACTGGCTTGAAATGTCTTCTTTATCCTAAGTCAAATCCCCCGACTTAGTTTCTGGACTCTAGACTATTCTTATCATCTATTTATGTGCATCAATGCCACCTGCTTTAAAAATTGCAGCTTTAGACTATGTCTTTTGATTTGGTAAGGCAAGCTTCTGACCACCACTACTTGTTCTTTTTCAAACAGCTATTGCTGCACATTTACATATGCTATTAAAATCACATCAGATATTAATCTTGTAGGGGCCTAGCGCACAAAATTCGTGCACTGATAGGGTCCCTAGCAGCTGCCGGCTGGGTATTCCTTCCCTTCCCCCGGCTGGCTCTGCCCCCTGGTCGCACTCCTGGACAACTCCTGGTCGAGGGGACAATTTGCATACTATGCTTTTATTATATTGGATATGCCTATGTATTTATTACTGTTTTTTTCCATTAGAATGACAGCTCCATGAAAGCTTTTTTTGTTTGTATTAATCACGAGGATAACTAGAAAAGGGTCAGGCCCATAGTAGGCCCTCCAAAAGTTTTGTTAAGTGAATGAATAAACATGAAGTTTAGAATCATCCTATTCTAAGTTCTATGAAGAGTTCCTTTGGTATTTTTATTGGAATTGCATTGAATTTTTAAATTAATTTGGAGAGAATTGACATCTTTTTTTTAAAAATATATTTTATTGATTTTTTACAGAGAGGAAGGGAGAAGGATAGAGAGCTAGAAACATTGAGGAGAGAGAAACGTCGATCAGCCGCCTCCTGCACACCCCCCACTGGGGATGTGCCCACAACCAAGGCACATGCCCCCGACCAGAATCGAACCCAGGACGCTTGAGTCCACAGGCCGATGCTCCATCCACTGAGCCAAACCAGTCAAGGTAGAATTGACATCTTTACAGTGGTAGTCATCCCATTGTTGAACACAATACCTTGGTACAACTCCCCATTTATTTGAGTCTTCTTTGTGCCTTTCAGTAGAATTTTATTGTTTTCTTCATAAAGGTAATATATTTCTAATTATTATTATTTTAAATGGTGTTTTGTTTGTTTTTTTAAGTTTGTAAATTTTTTAAAATTAATCTTAGAGTGAGGAAAGGACAGGGGGAAGGAGAGAGAGAGATGGATGTGAGAGAGAAACACTGATCAGCCACCTCCTGCATGCACCCTGCCTGGGGAATCAAACCTGCAACCTTGGTATGTGCCCTGACTGGGAATCAAACCTGCTACTTTTTGGTGTATGGAACAATGCTCCAACCAACTGAGCCACCCTGGCCAGGGCTATTTCTAATTAATTTATTCCTAAATATCTTATAGTTTTTGTTACTATGTAAATGGGATTTTAAAATTATTATTACACTAGAGGTCAGGTGCACAAAATTTGTGCACTGGGGTCGGGGGGCATGTCCCTCAGCCCAGCCTGCACCCTCTCTAATCTGGGACCCCTCAGGGGATGTCCGACTGCCAGTCCGACTGTTGGACATCCCTCTCACAATCCGGGACTGCTGGCTCCCAACCGCTTGCCTGCCTGCCTGCCTGCCTGATTGCCCCCTAACCACTCCCCTGCCAGCCCGATTGCCCCCAACTGCCCTCCCCTGCCAGCCTGATCACCCACAACTTCCTTCCCCTGCCAGCCATCTTGTGACCCCACGGGGGTAGCCATCTTTGTGTGAGAGTGTGATGGTCAATTTGCATATTACCTCTTTATTATATAGTACTAGAGGCCGGTGCATGAATTTGTGCATAAGTGGGGTCCCTCAGGTTGGCCTGTGGGATCAGGCAGAAACTGGCTTTCTGACATCTCCCTAGGGGTTCTAGATTGCATAGGCCAGGCTGAGGGACCCCACTGGTGCATGATTGGGGTCAGGGGGAGATGCAGGAGGTTGGCCAGCTGGGGAGGGACAGTGGGAGGGCTCCAGGGCATGTCCAGCCATCTCAGTCCAGATCAGCCAGACCCTAGCAGCAAGCTAACCTACCAGTCGGAGCATCTGTCCCCAGGGCACGTCAAAGCGACTGGTCAACCCATTGAGTATCTGCCCGTTGGTGGTCAGTGCACATCATAGCAAGCAGCTTTAGCATATCATTAACATATTACACTTTGGTTGAACAGATGACCGGATGACTGGACACTTAGCATATTAGGCTTTTATTATATAGGAATTTTCAAATTATTACTGCTGATATATAGGAAAGTTCTTGATGTGTAAATATTGATCTAGTGCTCTGTACCAAAGGGTCACCTGGTGTTTTAGGCTCAATTCCCAGTAAGGGGTGTGCAGGAGGTAGCACATTATGTTTCTCACATCAATGTTTCTCTCTCTCCTCTCTAAAATACATAAAAACATATTTTTAAAAATATTGGTCTAGTATCCAGACATTTTGCTGCACTCACCAATTATTGCTTTGGGTTTTCCAGGTGAACAATCACATCACAAATAATGGCAATTTGGTCTTTTCCCTTCAATTTTTAAACCTCATATTTGCTTTAATTTCTTATTGCATTAACTGTAACTTCCAGTGTATTGTTGAAGAGTATTTTGATTCATTTCTGACTGCATTGGTATATGATTCAAGATAGGTCAAGGTATGCTGCAGTAACAAACAATCCCAAAATCTAGTGGTTTAACACAATAAAAATGCATTTCTCAGGTCCTGGCTTGTTTGGCTCAGTGGATAGAGTGCTGACCTGCAGACTGAAGGGTCCCGGGTTCCCAGTCAGGGGCACATGCCTGGGTTGCAGCTTGATCCCGGGGGGGGGGGTGCGTGCAGGAGGCAGCCAATCGATGATTCTCTCATCATTGATGTTCCTATCTCTCTCTCCCTCTCCATTCCTCTCTGAAATCAATAAAAACATATTTTTTTAAAAATGCATTTCTCGCTTACACCCCATGTCCAATACAAGCCATGGAGCAGGGAGGAGTTCCTTAGTGTTGTTTCTCAGAGACCCCGGCGGATGGACGTTCCATGCCTCCATGGACATGTGCTTCTACGATAACCATGGTGGAGGGGGCAAGTGAATTATGGGCTGGCTCTTGGAGCTTCTACTGTAAAGTAACCCATGTTCTGCCTACTGGCATTTCAAAGCAAGTTCCATGGCCAAGCCTAACTTCCACCGGGGGAGGGAAGTGTGACCCTGCCATATGCCAGAAGGGCCGTGGGAATGGGTCTCATGCCCCCCACCGCATATGATGTAAGTTACATCCCATATGCTCCAAGTTCCTAGTAGATCATCCTTTATCAAGGATTAAGTCCATGAGTTTGTTTAGATTTTGTTCAGTAAAGAGATTGTCTCTATCATGCATGAGTGTTAAATTTTATCAAAAGATTTTACATCCTCTGTTTGATGTGCAGATGTTATTTTTCTCCCTTGATTTCTTGAGGCGTTTATACATATTTTTCGCCCAGAACTTTCTCCTCCACTGCCCTCTTCAAACACTTCAAAGATTAAGTCCATGAGTTTGTTTAGATTTTGTTCAGTAAAGAGATTGTCTCTATCATGCATGAGTGTTAAATTTTATCAAAAGATTTTACATCCTCTGTTTGATGTGCAGATGTTATTTTTCTCCCTTGATTTCTTGAGGCGTTTATACATATTTTTCGCCCAGAACTTTCTCCTCCACTGCCCTCTTCAAACACTTCAAAGCTCATTCATTCATTCATTCATTCATTCAGCAAATACTTACTTAGCAATACTGTGTGCCAGATGCTGTTCTAGGCACTTGGGGGACACCAGCGAACAAAGCCGGCGGTCCTGGAAGAACCCACCCTCTCCCCAATCCTGCCCCCACCCGCTAGCGCTCCGCCCCGCCCACGCTGCGACTTTAGGGGCCGGCAGAAGCCGAGCTGGGCGCCGATTGGTGGTTTATTCTAACAGCCAGCGGCTGAGCTCATCTGCAGCCAATGGCTGCCTGCACCCGGCAAGAAGCCTGCACCCGGCTGGAGGGCG